TAAAAATCCTTAAGTCACTCACTGATTAATCACGATCTTGCTCAAAACATTCAACGTAAGTAAACTCAAAAGTTTTTTTTTCTCAGGTAAGATTTCGACAGACGATGACAGAAGAAAAGCAGATGACGTCCCATACCAATCTATTTATTTTACTAAAAAAAGTTTCTAATAATTCTTAAGTCATCTATGGATGGGTTTAAATATAAATCCGTCATGCGTCGTGTCTTGTTGTTTTTAACCAGTTTTATTGGTTTATTTAAAAAATGACAGATTGTATTTTAATTTTATTGGTTTGACGGAACGGAACGATGAACGACAAACGGACGCCGATGCGTATGAACTCGCCTTTAGATTTTTGTCATTTTTGACGCTTGTCAAAGTCTTGCCAAATTATAGGTTAGAATATTGTGTCAACTTTTGTTAAATACCCTGCGTTTTGGAAGATGCTGCATTTTGATTCGTATTATTACGTGTGTTTTGTGTCTTTTGAAGTCAAGTGGAGGAAAAATCGAGTGAAAATTAACTGTAGACCCAGAGCACAGTTTATGGTTTATACTCGCTGCCCAGGCAGAAAGTTTTATACACCAATGAAGTTGCCATCGATAAAGTTTGTATACCATTTCGTCGTAGATAAGTGCATCTCGTATATGGTAGAAGGATCAAACTAAACACATACTAAAAACTGGAGTAGCTGTAAAATATCGACATCACACGATAGGTAAATAATGGATTTTAGTACTGCAGAAAAATAATATCAAAAGGTACTGGTTTAAAAAAATTAAGATAAGTAATAATTAATAAGTTAATTAATCAACTTTTAAGGTATAAAATTTGGTAGGTGTTATTATTAATAAAATAGTTTGTTTTATTTACCTATGTTGTTTTATTTATTCCTGTGGAATATTACAAATTTGTATTTGTACAAAAGTTATATTGATAAATATAATCATAAATGCGGGTAGTTTCATAAAGCTTGAAAGTAAATAATAGTTCTTTTTTATATTTTTTTGGTATGTAGTGTCTTGTTCTTGTTTGTTATGTATTAACACATACCGTTTTTATTAAATAAAATAACTCAATTATATTTTTTCAGTTTTATACAGTTTTTTTCACAATATTTTGAAGTAATCACTTGTCATCTTGTCAATCAAATTTTAAATATATCCTGCCATGCGTTCCAGTTGTACCAACTTATTTCTTTGTAAAATAAAATAAACTACTTTGAAATTAAAATGACAGACACATCTATCACTGTCAAGGATCTTCTCTTTGGACAGACTAGTTCAGTTTTGGCATACATCAGGGACAGCTCAGTTTTGGCATACATGTTGATTCTTCTAGGGTGTAGAGGTGGGGTGTAGAAGGGATTTTTCGAAATGCCAGTTCCAAGGGGGTGAAACCACCCCTCAAATATTACAATATTTTTTTTATTTAAAAAACGGTCAAGTTTCCGAAAAAACGCTTAAACACGTATATTTTATTTTGTTTTTTTTTACATATTTTAAGGGTTTTAAAAACGTATACAGGGTGTTTTGAAAAATCTGGTCATAGTTGACGTAAAAAGCTGATTTTTGGAAAACGGATTGACTTTAGGGTGTAGAGGTTCGATAAGAAGGAATTTTTCGAAACTCGAATTCTAAGGGGGTGAAACCACCCCTCAAATATTAGAATATTTTTTATTTAAAAACCGGTGAGTTTTTCGGAAAAACTTTTAAACACGTATATTTTATTTTGTTGTTTTACATATTTTAAGATTTTTTAAAAAATTATACAGGGTGTTTCATAAAATATGACCATTGAGTAATCACGATTCTGCTTGACGTTTAAAAATTATATAACACATTTTTCGTGTATTCGCTATTTAAACCCCTGTATTTGTATATGCCGGTTGTTTACGATATTCCCCGATGGTGGCAGCACCGGCGGAGAATGCACCAAGCCCATAGATAATAAAATTTAAATAATGATCACACAATTTTTAGTTGTAGATTTTTGGCATTGAAGTGAATATGTCATGGTAAAATTCTATAAATATTTAAAAATAAAATCAAATAGAATGTAAATAAAGCTTCATTAAATAGAGTTAAACAAATTAATTTTATTTCCTAAAATAATATGCGAATATGTTGCAAACATGCGAATATTAAACGAACACACAAACAAAGCCGAAACAATATCGACATTCGGCTTAATGTTTTATGTATGCATGTTATAGTTACTTTACCGACTAACTTTTACACAGTTTACAACACCTGAGAGTGACAGCCTGTTAAAACTTTCAAATCCGTTAAAGAAAGGAATTTAATTTTCAGGGAGAGTAATTTTCATAAATAATTTAAAATAAACTTTAGAAAAGTTTCCTATACTAAGACCTTGTATAGTTACTTCTAAAAGCCAAGAAAAACATTTTCATAAACATTTTCACTTATATTTTCAAATCACTATATTTTATATGGTATATGTTTCAAGGTTATAGTCTAAAATCAATTTTTGGAACCGACCTCAGATTGTCGTTTCTTATACCGGGTGCTTCTCAAAAGTGGCTTACCCCTATAACTTTTTTACATAAAAAAATGAGATTTGGTATGTTAGTATATGACATAAATTAGGATTGATGAAGTATTCAATTGTTTTTGGTCACTTCCTGTTTCACCGGAAATGACCACAACTTTTGATTTTTAAATCGCACCCTCGGTATTTTTTGTCCTTTATCCGATGGAAAATGACATATGTCAAAAGTTGACATATGTATGTCATTCTATTCAAAGTGTCCTTTTCTATCGAATAAAGTAACCAAAGGTGTCATTTACAAATCAAAAGTTGTAGTCATTTTCAGTGAAACAGGAAGAAAAAAAAGAACCAAAAACAATTGCATACGTCAATCAATCCTAATTGATCTCATATACTAACATACCAAATCTCGTTTTTTATCTGAAAAAATAAAGTTATAGGAGTGTACCACTTTTGAGACGCACCTGGTATAGTGAAGTGTTAAACAACGATTAATGAGCACCGAGTGATGGTGGTAATATTAAATAAAAAAAACTATTGCAGTTTTGTCTAGTTCTGTTTTATACCCTAAAAGAAAATATTTCTTAATTTTTTTTTTGTATCTGCTAAAATTTCGTGACAAGTTTGGAAAATTTTGGACAATTTTTTTGTTTAATGAATTTGGGGAAATTTTTTGTATAAAAAAATCGCGAAAGTCGCGAAAAAATATATTAAAAATTAAAAAAATTGGATTTTTTTAGTTTTTTTTGTTAAAAAACCATAATTTCTTCATATGGCATCATAGGTACTAAATTCACTTTAGAAGAGTGAAAACCGAGAAAAGCTCCAGTGGTTCTCAAAATTCAAGGAAAACATATTATTTAAATAGTTTTAATTAATTAAAATTTCAAAGTACAATAACAACATAGGTAGTATATTACAGGGGAGTGCCGGCTCGAATGGCTTAAGTCATATCTTGGCAACAGAAGGCAGCTTGTTAGGATTGAATGTGGTGTCCCTCAGGGTTCAGTATTTGGCCCTATTTTATTTCTGGTGTTTATCAACGACATTGCAAATCTAGACATTAGCGGTAAAATCTGCCTCTTTGCGGACGATACTAGTTTCACTTGGAGCGGCCCAGATGTTAAGGCACTATGATACTATATCCAGTGACTTACGCACCATTAAATCTTGGTGCGATTCTAATCTCCTATGCCTCAACCTTTCAAAAACTAAAGTTTTGTCATATAAAAGTACTATACAACCTTTTGTACTTAATAACACCACTATTGACGTCGTGGACTCTCTCTGGAGATTCTTAGGACTTGTTGTGGACAACTCTTTAAAATGGGACTTGCACATCGAAGCCTTATCAAAGAAACTAAGCTCTGCCTGTTTTGCGCTAAGATCAGTGTCTAAGGAACTTATCTCATCAACCTCTAGAATGGTCTATTATGTCCTTTTTGAGTCGCATCTTCGTTATGCCCTTCCATTCTGGGGTACTTGCTGCGCGATAAAATTTGATCGTATTTTCAAGCTTCAAAAGAGAGCAGTTCGATACTTATTGGGACTAAACAGTAGAACTCACTGCCAGAATTTCTTTAAAAATTTCAAAATACTGACTCTTCCTTCCTTATTCATTTTTGAATCCGTTTGCTTAATCTGCAAGCACATATTCTCTATTCCGGAAAGGCCTTCTCACAACTATCCACTTAGGAATGCGGAGCACGATATTTATCTGCCAACCCCGAGCTCAGAACTAGTTAAGGGCTCAATACTGTACAATGCCAAGAAAATGTACAATCATTTGCCTTCGAATATCAAGTCACTTTCATTCTTTCCCGCATTTCGCAAAGCTCTGAAATCATACTTACTGGAGAGAGCCCTATATGCGGTAAACGACTTTTTTGTTGATGTTTAATCATGAACAATTTAGAATTTTAATTTTAATATTTTGATCATCTCACACACTGGTCTAGTATTTAATATTTTATAATCTCACACAAAGGTCTAGTATTTAATATTTTATAACTCTTGATTTTATGTTATTATAACAGGATTTTATCCATTTACAGTTTTCCTTTTGTAAAATTTTCTAGATACGCCTGTGTTCTGCAATGTCCATATATGTTTTATTTGTAATTTTATGACGTAATTTTTTTTTTAATTGATTTGTATTGTATGACATTTTTTTTTATTATTTGTATATTTGTTTTTGTGCTTTTTTTGTTTTGCTTTGTCGATGAAGCTGTTTTGGCTTTTTGTACAATAAAGCGTTGTTTTTTTTTTATTAAAAATGGAGGAACGGAAACACAAAAAATATCAAGTGGTTCTCAAAATTTAACCATTTCTTTGAAATTTTCAATGTAAGAAACTCGGCTATTTTCGACTTATTTCAAAACTGGCAAAGAGAAAATATGATTCTTTTATCGAGATCTATCAGCCCTGAAAATATTTGCACTTATTCAAGACTCGCCCTGTACATAGAACATCTTTCAATAGTTACTTACGTCATAGTCCTCACACCACACGTAGAATATCTTGATGTTGTTGAGGGTCTTGCCCTCGGGCAGGGTAAGGGTAACTCCTTCTTTCCTGTACCTCCTGATAACGTCCCCGTTGTTATTCTCGTCCCTCAATCTGAAACCTTTGCTGTCGGCGGTTTTGTAAGTGCTCGCGTAGAAATATGCTCCTGAAAGAAAAATATGGAAATTTATGATAATTTGGGTGGGAATATCGTTTTTTAGAGGGTGCGAAGTGCAGACATAACTTGTGTTTGGATGAAATTTTCGAGATTTCGACGTTTTATTAAACATTTTTGTGTTACAATTTTAAAAGGTTGATATTTGGGGTCGGAGGGTTTGTTAAATGTCAAATAAGTCAGAAAATAATGCGAAGGAATGGTAATCTTCGTCAACTCTGTCCTTGGCTTTTGATACACTCATAAATATTAAAATGTTGCATTTTTACAACAAATAGTTTCGAATAGCAGAGAGGCAGGAAGAGTACTAGCTTCTACGTCCCACTAGTCAACTCGCATACCTAACAATATTGCAGTTTGCTGTCGCCTTATTTTATAAACGGTTTACACAATTAAGATTACATTATACAAGACATATATAGGGTGGTCCGAACTGTATTGCGGAAACTTCGGCGGCATATTTTGCAAATAAAAATAAGTAAAAAAGTTCGAATAAATGTATGTCCTAAAATGCTTAGTTTCGGAGATACAGGGTGTAGAAGTTTCATTTTTATTTCGATTTTTTCCAAATAATTTCTGAAGTAACGTCAATATTTGGATGAAAATTGGTGTGACTCCTACTTGTAAAGGATGCCACCTATATATTTTTTAACTGCTTTGAAGAGTAATAACTTTTCGTCTGTACCTGTATAAAACTACTGACTAAAAAAATATACATTTACGACGATTTTTAGTAGTAATGGTTCTCGAGATATTTGGAATCGAAGTTATCAATACCTGTCATCACTGACATAAATTAAACACGTTGACTTAATAGTTATTAGTCTGAAATTATAAATTTGAAATGTTTTTGTGTCAAAAGTTCAACAGAAACTGTTTTATCGTCATTTTTTCGAAGAAAAATTTATGATTAATTTAAAAAAATAAAAAGTTTCCAAATTTATCATTTCAGTCAAATAACTATCTACTCAACATATTTATTTTTTGTCAGTAATGACGTAATGACGTATATTGACTATTTCCATTCTAAATATCTTGAGAACGGTTGCTCGTAGCGATTTTTACCAAGATACATTTTTTACGTACAAAATCACGGAAATGTATATTTTTTCACTCAGGAGTTTTATACAGGTACGGACGAAAAGTTATTACTCTGCAAAACAGTTAAAACACATGAAGGTGGTGTCCCCTACAAATAGGAGTCATATTGACATCAAAATCAAATTTCTCATGTCAAAAAATTCCAGACTCCAATTTTCATCCAAATATTGAGGTTACTTCAAAAAATCGATATAAAAATGAAACTTCTACACCCTGTATCTCCGAAACTAAGCATTTTAGGACATACAGCAGTATTTGCTGTGAACGTAATCACAGTTTTGTGTGTTTTAGTGTGCTTCGGAAACACGTAAAAAATTTCATCCGAATCAGATAGAGGAAATAACCTTTAAAAACTAAAGTATATAATGCATTTACCTGCGAATTTTGTAATAAATATTTTAGTGCAAAGAAGAGTTTAGCATGGCATTTAAAATCACATGAACAGGTGGCACAAGGTTAGACCAAATTATCAAAGAGGTGAGGCAGAATCAAGTGTAAGCATTGTCATTTAGGATATTAGTATTAGTAATGATGGTGCATAGGCTTTGACTGTCTTTCTTTGTTCTCTTTAAGAATGGAAAATTTGATCCTAATATTCTTGATTGAGGAATAATCATAGAACTGTTTTAGATGATCCGATGGTTTAAATAATACCAATACCCCTGTACAAAATATTGGAACAAAATGTCTTATGTGTGATTTTGTCAGCAGGTTTAAAAATGACTTATATGAACATTTTAAACGGAATCATGATATTAGCAAAGAGTAGATAAGACAAGAGACGACAGTGAACAAAGAAGTCGAATTTCGCGAGAGAGACGCAGATATATTAAAATTTAAAGGTCCCATCAAGTCCCATTTTCTCTGTTGCCAAGTATATTTCTTTGAAAAATAAACAAGATTTTCTAAAAATAAATTAATAATATAAGAAGAATATAAGTAACGTATGTTAATAGGGAAATGTAAATTTTTAGTTTAGGTTGGTTTAGGTTCTTTTTTCGTAATGTACTGATAATATCAAAGAAACAGAATGACTAAGTTGATCGATTTCAACGATAAACGATAAAATCTGACAACGGCGTATTTTATTAAGATTCTAACCTATGATTTTAGGACGCTAATCAGCTGTGCTAATCAGGCTTAAACATAAACAAATCTGATTAGTTGTTTTCTTGCATTTTTGCCTTTTTAAAGTGTGTGTTTCAGAGTTTTTCGATATATTATCGTTTTGAGAGTTTTTAAGGTTTAATTTTAGTATCGTTTTTGTTGCTTACTAATTTGTAATTATTGTTAAATATGAATACTGAACAGGACACGAGTAGCAGGAAAAGACGAGATGGTGGCAATGTGTGTGCTTATAAAGACTGCAAAAATAGGTCTTATTCTTCGACAAACATAATATTTCACTCGTTTCCAAAGGATCCTGAAAAGTATTTTTATAGAAATATACTATGTAATTATGTTATTAAACTAAATGTAATCCATAGATCGAAGACATGGTTAGAAGCTTGTAATATATTTTTACAAAAAAAATTGAGCAACTTTATTTTTTTGTACATAAACTCCACATTGTGATATTGTAGAATGGAGGGGAGTTAATCACCGCGACCTTATAGATCTATTGTGTGTTCAATGTAATATTACACTTGTTCAAAAGTCCATATGTAAAAAAATACACGTAAATAAAACACTTCTTACAAATCGACTTGGTCACTTTATCTTGTTTACCAACGATATACAAAATATTGCTTTTATTATCTTTATTCCCTGACAAATATGTTTCTAATTATAATTTATTTTATATAATATTTAGAAAACTCATTTTTTTTTCGTTTCTATTTATTTCTTTACCCATACAGTAACTATTTATAAGCTATACATGCAAGTTTTAATAATAGTCTATTTCAAATTTCCCGCGAAAAAGTTACGAAAATTTAAAGGGACAAGCGAGACGAGGTCACTCTCCCCACCACTCAAACATGAAAGGTACCGCGCGAACTGTCGTCTCTTGTCTTATCTACTCTTTGATATTAGTGTTAAAACAAATTACATGAACTTTTCCTCAGCAGAACAATTATTGAATTCATGGTTTTCTCAAAATAAACAATATATTATATTTGAATTCAAAAATAGTATATAAAAATCTTTCTGGATGGTTTGACTAACGTTCACTCTGAATAAAATGCAGTGAAAATTAAGATCTAATAGCTTATCAAAAGTGTTTTTTTATTAAAGTATCATATATTTTCATAAATAAAAATATTTGAATTTATTTTTAAACAAATTTTAAATCTCTAGTAAATATTAGATTATAACAGAATAAACAACCTACACTAAAACGCACAAAACTTGGTATTCATTTCACTTATTCTTACCTTATCTAGTATTCTGATTACTATTAAGAACGTTCTAACAAAATAAACCAAATATCAATCAAACTTTGAAATAAACCGAAAAAATAAACGTCGCTAGTTGAAAATCATGAAATTAAGGGACAACAAATGGCAACATTGTTGGGTATGCGAATTGACTAGTGGGACGTAGAAGCTAATAAAACATAGAACTGGTAACTTATTTAAGAAACAACATAGAAGTATTATCTATATCTAAATGTTAGTGAAAACTAAACAGTATGTTTGCCATGAGCTAATTATACTTTGGGTCGGCTATTTTTCAACACCCTGTGTATTAGATGACTATATCTATTAAAAGAGAAACTAGTTCTATTTTTTTTATTATTTGAACGTCGAGACTTATTCAAACAACTACTTTGATAATGATCTTTCACCTTTCATTACTTTCATTAGCTGGAAAGACCCACTTTAGAACCATATTTATACACCTACGCCTACTTTTGAATTGTCCATTCTTAAATACAACAATAGACGATTGTCAGGATTATGAATGATAGCTTTACCGGCGTGAATATTAGATAACGCTATGGTTTATTATGATTGACAGCAAACTTCTAAATTATTTAAAAGTGTAAAAAAGTCATATATCAAAATTCTAAACGTAAATGTTGATATATTATTTTTTTATGTTGTGGCTTAGCTCACAAAAATAAGAAATAACCCTTCTGCTGTACGTACTCCATACTGTGCAGCTGTTAAAAACTTATTAGTTAAAAATTGTTTTTCAATATATATTTTTATGAAATTTATACAGGGTCTCTAGCAAAGACTAAATTTAGCAGAAGTCTGGAAATTTGAGACTATCAATATCTCTCGAGGTATTTCGATGTCGAGATATATATTCTGTTAAATATTTTCAAAATTGAAAGATATCTGGTTGTCTAGAACTAGTTGTCATTTAAGTCACATTTTAAAAGGAATATATTGTATTTTTAAGTTCTATATAATATATTTCTAAATACATTTTATTTATTTTGAACTACACCTAAGTTACCTACCGTTTCTGGGTCATTGTCAATATTGAATTGGGTGTCAAAAAAGACATTTAAAGATCGAAATATTATTGATCATTTTTTACTATCAATACATTTTTCAATCAAATTATTTTATGTTTAGGTTTCAACAACTATAAAGACAACTTTGTATAAAGGTATATTATTTTCCAAATAAAACACGGCGATGTTGACTGTCTGGTACTGAATAGGCTGTGGTAATATTCGGATAATAACTATTCAACACATAAAACAACACTGTTAAAAAAACTGCGTTATAGAAATACCATTTTGTGGTTGGGCATGGCTGGTTATGATCTGTACTTATTTAACATATTTTTTATTTACAATACTGAATCATTGTCTACCACATTCAAAGATATATTTTAAAATATAACAGAAAAATGTTCATATCCAAATATTATAAAATGAAAAAATGTTTTATTAATCAACTTTATAGGCAGTTGCCTTTCTGGCAAATAAA